GGCAAATCTCATTTATCTACTCAAATTAGGGTAAATACACTTAATTTAATAAATGTTTACTTATTCTTAGATCGTTTTCCCAGTGTAGGGAGAAGCTGTTCACCACATGTCAGGGCCAGGTTTGTCTGGATAAAAACATTATTTAAAAAAATTATTTGTCTGTTAGTTATTAAATGTATTTTATTTTAAATATAAATAATTTAAGAGGGAAAAAAAAAAAACATTTAAGGGGTGAAAAACCTCTTGAATCTTAGACCACATCGTGGCCCCGTACAATGACCACTCAGATGGAGACGGATCAGCAGCTGGACTGAACCAATTCCTGGGCTTCATTGGTCCCTAGAGGAGAAAGTAGGTTTTAGAAAAGAGGGCTGCATAAGGGATGTGGTAAATGTTTGGTGACTCAAAAGTGACGACATCACAAAGATGAGACCAAGAAAAACAAGATTACTCTAGTGCCATCTACTGGATGGTCCAGGAAGTACGGCCTTTCCCTAATTTTCTACATCAACTCAGTGCAAGAGGTAAACCAACATATGAGGCCACATTAAATGCTGAGTCAGCAGAACTACTGATGCTGACAAAGCAGAACAGGAGATAAAGCAAGAGATGGCAGATCCAAGATTTTCAAAATTTGAAAAGACAATCCAAGAAGGGAAGATTATATTGGAAACAGATACGCCTACAGCATTCTGCAATGACGAACCCACCTGATCCTATTGAGCTCAGAGGAGCTCATGAGGTTGTCCGTTCTGCGGGAATGAGCTCGGTTACCAACCCCCCCCCCAAACAGCAACTGTATAAAAACACTTTTCAGTTAGTGTTTTTCTGTTCATATATTTGTTCATCACAGGAATATTAGCAAACATCTATTAGACGTCTAAATATATTCTAACTAAGTTAGGATTATTGTGTCCATCGGTCTCACTGGAATGTCCCTGTTTATTGGCAGAAACGCACTCCATGTAGCTAAGGTGGGATATTGCTTTCTGACATGATTAGCCTCAAAGATCAGTCTTAAATTCCCTCTGATTTAAATTCAATTTACTTTATTTCTATGGCGCCAATTCACAACACGTCATCTCAAGGAACTTTACAGTTCACCAGATCATCCAGTCACATTGATTCAAAGTTTTCTATCTAAGGAAAACCAGTTGATTGCATCACTCATTGATTCATAGGCAATGTCTTGTCTCGCTTGTAGCGACAGTGGTCGTCAAAGGGGAACATTTTTTGTTTAGTGATCAATAACTTTTGAAAAGAATATAAATAAACTCTAATTAAATGAGTTTCCGAACTTCACTGTGTTACTTTTATTTTGGTAAACTGTATATTTTGGTTGGAATTTGGACAATTATAAAACGTGACAATCATCACCAGTCGCCTCTACTGCTTTTTGATTGTTATGTATTTGACAGAATTGCTTTGTTTAAGGTGGCTGAACGTTGGAGTAGCTCTGTTAGGTTGATTCTGATACTGTTTTTAAAGTACATGAATCCTTCAGTTTTTTGGAAACAGTTTCTTTTCTGATGTTTTTCTTCTTCTGTTGTTGAAGGCTGTGAAACTGGAGGGATTTTTACTGATTTTGTTTTTCCTTGTTGGACAATTGTTATAATGCGTAACCACAGGAGCTGTATCAAGTTGAACTTTTACACCTTGGAGCAGATCTTTAAAGTCGTAGGGAAATCATATTTAAATGTCAAATCATTCTGGCTTAAACATGTATATAAATGTACTCTTTATCAGACCATATTATCTCAAAATTTAGAAAATTTCTATTTTTAAAACAATCCTGTCTTACAATTTGTGGGGGGTTTTCCATTATCTTATGCAGGCCAGTTAGTTATACGTCGGCCTGAACACCTAAATTCGGCCAATCGTATATCCATGGTCATCTGTCAAAACATTTTTTTCAGTCATAGCATCTTGATTCATATGTTGCAGCTATTAAACGCAACGGTTGAAATCAGAATAATTTCCTTTCCCATTGAGTTCCGTCCCAGTGTTCACGGGGATGGACGTCTGTGTCTTCAGCAGGCGTAGAGCTAACAGAACTGGCAGCGTTGCGAGGCAAGGGCTCAAACATGTACGGCTGGAAGCCTTCTACACCAAACCAGGCTTCTACCGCCCTGGCGTCCTTTCCTCCTCTAAATAAAAAA